TTTAAAACGACAAAAATTTAAGGTGTCCGTTTTTCGTGCCGGTGAGTGTAGTTCAATAAGAATTCAAGTATGCACTACTCTTTTAAAAATCACACTGCAGACTCTTTTTAGAAATCTTTAATCATAAAAAGTGATAAAAAAGAAAGCGAAAATGATGGTGTGAGTGTGTTAAAAAAGTGTGCAATATCGTCTTCCTATACCTAATATTAATTATTTAATGTCTTCCTGCGAATTGAATCAGACCATGCCAGAACAAAATATGCTGTTAAAATTAGTTTAACCTAGACCTGGTACGACACAAATAAATAGACAATTAAATAGTTGCATGTAAACAAGGCAATTTTACTAGGCGTTTAGTATTAAGCCAAACCCATAAACCCAAAACCATGAAATATATTTTTATAATAACACGACGTATGAACGTTAGCTATTTGACTTTATTACAAACCATTTTTAAATTTATTTAGTATATTACATTACTAAGCTATTTAAGAAACATTTTTTGCATGTAGTTGCCCGTTGCCCTTTGGCTAATTAATTTGGAGAGGTCAGCCAGAAGTGATAACGTGATTTTTCCACAACATTTAATAAACGCAAATTGAAAACTGTTTATTTATGTCTAAAACAGGTTCCAGTAAATTTATACAGCGTTGATTAGTATTCGCAATATACTGTTAATTCAATAGTGGCAAGAGTACTATATTTAGATATTACCTTTTTCATCACTAATTAGTTGTTTAAAGTTTTCTCATACTTATCTAATAAAAATACAGACTTACGACGCTTAAAATGTTAAGTACAGTTAGTTAGGTACTGTTCTTTTACACAGAACTAATAACAACTTTTACTTACACTTTTTATTTGACATTTACAGTCTAATGCAAACTCTCATCTCTTACGTGTTTTAACAAATTTACTTCAAGAAATACAGGGTGTTGCATTTGAAATAACAAAGTTTTTATGTAAAATAAATCCATAAAATAGAGATCACTAACTTTTGGTACCCCTGTATAAATTTAAGTAAACAATAACATTTTTTCAGTAAAGTGCACATTTTCTCTTTAAACTCAGCACAAGAATTACCTAATTCTAAAAAGTAATGTACAAGGTGATCATAATCAATTCTCTTGTTTTACGCATATGCTTAAATATCTTTGGCCCCAAAACCATTGATTTTAAACATATTTAACTCTTATAATAAATACCTTTTTGGGCCCAAGAACTAAAAAAATGAAATAAAATACCGGGTGTTCCATAAGAAAAAATATAACTTTGGTATGAATCTTAGTAGACACCCTGTATATTTCAAAATAATTTTAAATTGTGCACATTGCCTCCCCACATATACCTAAAACTTTAAATAGTATAAGAAATATATCTTTAATTTGAATCATAGTTTAAAGAACTAATTATTTACTCTATTAAATATACACTCGATACCTCGATAAGTAACTTGATATTACTTGGCAATTCCCTACTCCGAACATACAACTGCTCCGTCTCTGCGCTATATTTTATGAAAAAAAACTTTGACTGTTTAATAAAAAGGAATGATGATACACTGAGACACACAATCGACATACAAGATAAACAAATTAATTTTATTATCTTAAGGAGGCAACGCTAATTTAAAAAATAACATAATCCGATATTGTGTTGGAATACCTCACTTCGCAAAATACTTTTTGCGGACGACACTTCGGTTGTTTTGGAAGATGATGCTGATAGTCCTGATGAGCTCTATTGCCGATTATATACTATTGTAGAGCAATTCTTAATTCATGGTGCAAATTAAATACACTTAAATATACTTTTGACATTTTCGCTTAAAAAAATCATATTTTAAATTTCACTATAGAGTGGCATGGCAATTTTTAATCAGTGAGCCTTGGAAAAATAGATTTGATCGTCTAATGTTCTTCGTGTCTTGTCCTGGCCGGTTAAAAGATGCCCGAATCGTATTTTTAATCATATTTCAATTTTTTCAAATGGCACAAGGGTGGCTCATTAGAATATTTGAAAAAAAAAGCATTTTTTTACGAATAATTTGACACCACACACTTGGTATTTCGAGTCAAATTGTCGTTATAAACCGCATGTTACAATTTCAAATAAAGAATATGCGAAAATGTCAAAAGTTGACATATGATATGTCGTTCTATTCAGAGATGATTCAGAGTGTCATTTTCTATCAATTAAAGTAGAATATATTCCAGTGAAACTGGAAGTGACTAAAAACAATAGAATACCGTCAATTATTCCTAATTCATGTCACATACTATCGTACCAATTCTCGTTTTTATATATGAAAAAATAAAAAAGTTATAGGGGGTGAGCCACTTTTCAGACGCACCCGGTATAATTAAGCAAAACTTTTCAGCCTACTCTCGTAGATTAGGATACTACATGTAAAATACTTCGATTTCTCAAAAAATCTTTATATTCATTTAACTTTATATCTCCTTAAAATGAACGAGTCTGGCGACAATAGACAATAATTTTCTTTCTTCTCAGTCATAAAACCAGGATGCAGACCTGAGATGCAGACGATGGTAAAATTTCTGGTTTTTCCCATTTCAAAGCCACTGGGTACCTGAAACCAATTTTACAAAACATATTTTTTCTTCTGTTTAATGGAAACTAATAACCATATACCAAAAAGAAATATTTTACCATCTTAAGTGAAGTCAACTTAAAAACCCTTGGTTATTACTAAAACTTTTTTCTTTGTTTTCTGTACCTCTATTTTCGTCTTTTTTGCATATCCTTTTTAATAATTGACGTTTTTTAAAAGATCAAAAATTTATTATTAATTAAATTAAATAGGCGGTTGAAGCGTAGTGGTAGCCACATTACCTTCCTTGTATACCGAACGGCTCTAGCACAGTTTAAAGAATACATAGAATACATATATTTATATTCTTTAAACTGTGGCTCTAGTATGGCAAGCTGTACCTTGCTACTCCCAAGGCGTTAAACGCTATATACGGGACCTATTATTATTATTAAAGATTTATTGAATTTAGTTATGACCAAGAAAAATTGTCATTCTAGCCCTCTTAAGGTAATAAAGAAAAAAAAAACAGTTTTCTTCAATATGTATATGTTGGAGGCAGATGCCGAAAATTAGACATATGGCGATTATAATTAAATATACCTACCTATATCCACAAAGTTAGGCGGAAGAGTTTTGATTGCATTGGTTTCAACTTCTATGCGGAGGGTGTTAATCTTTTGTTGTTATATTATACCAAAAAAAGATTAACCCCCTGGCAAGTTTAGTATGGACAAATCGCCATATGTCTAATTATTTTTTGGACATTGGCCGAAATTCGGCATCTGCCTCCAATATATATAATTACAAAGTGTTACATATGTTTAGTGTGTGCCAGTAATGATGAAAGAAATCATGAAAGAAAACGCCTTGCTCAACCATCTTCTGATGCGTGTCAAATACCTACTCGTCAGCGAGTAATGGCAGTATACAGCGCAGCGTCCGGCCTGTGGTCCGGCAATAGCGCGTCGGGCATCTGTAGCTCCTAGAATAAAACACTTGGGAATTTTGTTTAAGTGTATACCTAAAGTATGTACTAGGATATATTTCAGGAAAATATTTTAACTTCTATAGGGTGGCTCAAAAAAGTGTGAGTGGATCGGGATGATTTTTTTTAAATGGGAAATATATTTACTCATATCTTAGAATTATGTAAAGTGATCTGAAAGGAAGCTAAAAATGCAATATTATACGGGGTGTTCCATTTAAAAAAAAATATCCCGATTCACTCACACTTCTTTGAACCACCCTATCGTAGGCATGTTCGGTCTTCCGGTATACCGGTACCAGGACCGGTAATTTTGAAATATTCCGGTATCTGTATCGTCTTTTACAAGACCGATGTACAGGTTTTGGTAACAGTACTGGAAGACCGATTTTGGTACCGGTACCGGAATACCGGTTTAAATCGATCCCGAAATACCGGTTTCAATTGATACCGGAAGACCGGTTTCAATCGGTACAGAAAGATAGATTCATGATAATATGAAAATCAAAAAACCTGTATAAAACGATTTCGGTACCGATTTTTGTGCAAAGCTTATTGTGTTCTCCTACTCTAGGTACCGTATGATCGAAAAAAAAACTGCGTCAGCGATGGCTATGAAATGAAGATCGCTGTCATTTTATATGTAAAATTACATGGGTAATGTAATCGATGTTCATTTCCAAGCGAACGCCGTTTTTTTCGATCATTCTGATATTCCGGTTCATCCGGTCTTCCGGTATACCGGTTCGCAACGGTACTGAAATCTTAGGACCGAACATCCCTACCCTATCAAAAACAAATTTAAAATATTTTACTAAAATACGTCCTAGTACAACTTAACAAGTATAGCTAGAGACGTGAGAAATATAAAATAAGAGACGCCCTTCGATGCGCAGTGGACAGCACACAAATTTGCTTTAATCAGATTTGTCATAGAATGCGTTCTCTCTCTATCGTGTGCGCCACCGGTGCTATCCCCAAGTCTCTTCCTATATTTGTCAAACTGTACATACTTTTCAGTACAGTTTTAGGTTTGCACTTAAACAAAATTCCCGAGTTTTTTATTCTAGGAGCTGTATATTTTTTTGCCCTAAAAACTGTTTTTGTATTTTCTGCGTCTACCTATATTTCTTTATATTATTATCTAATTCTGTTGATCCCTTCAGGTAGAAGACAAATATAACATTATAAAACAGGTGTCTAAAATTTATACCTACACCTATACATACAACATAATAGACAATATTCTAAAAACCCAATGGAACATTTCAATTTTACGAGCTAAATTTCCCACAATTCACGTCTAATTCCTTTTCAATAAAAATTACCTTAACCACCCTTATTCGAAAAATTTCCCACGCGTTATCGTCTAGGAGCATCTGTTGATAAGAAACGAAACGTCGGCATATAAAACAGTACGACAGTCTGCCGATAATGGTAATAATACTACGTTTCTCTGAGAGAGAAGCACGCGACGAGTCATTTCGGAATTCCCAATTTCGAACGCGCGGCTAGTCCGACCCTGCATCGGCGGTCGACGAATTTTCAGTTGAAGATTGTCCGTCCTTCCATGGGTTTCAACTGAAGAGAAAAGAAAGAAAGTGATCGCTCACGTTTGTTTACATTTTGGCGCGAAGTGTTGAAAGTTTAAATGTACCGTTGGTCTTGACATTTCTTGCGATTGTTGCTTTTTCGCTGTGTTATTTAATAAGTTTTATTTATTGTGTTTCTTTTAATATGGGCTGTAATATCTGTGATTGAAGTGAGTGTTTTAGTGGAAGAAATTATTAAGTTATTACTTACCAATGCCGCGTAGTGATCTGCTTAAAAAAGTGTTGACGCAGTATTTCTTAAAAGGTAAATATATCATTATTCTTTCATAATGCTAGGTTCTTACTCTAAAAATGCGGCATATTTTTTCAATGATTTTATAGTAAAATTTATACTTTTTTATATATTTTGTGTTAAATATAAAGAAAATTTAACAAATCTTTAAATATTACATATGTGCATTTTTATGCATTTTGCGTATACGCTCCAAGTTTGCAATATGTAATTATTATAAATATTTTATATTAGGTGGGTCTTAAATAAGTGCAGATATTTTCAGGGCTGGTAGATCTCGATAAAAGAACCATATTTTCTTTTTTTTCAAATAAGGCTATTACCGCGGTATTTTACTTTGAAAATTTCAGAAAAAAAATATATTTTGCTTAAATTTTGAGAACCACTGGATCTTTTCTGGGTTTTCTTTCTTGTAAATTTAATCTACTTAATGGTTGTTGCCATATTATCAAGAAATTATATTTTTTAACTAAAACTAAAAAAGTTCCAAATATGTTTTTAAAAAATTCCAAATTTTCAATTTTTTTTCGCGAAAAAAACCTCATGATCGTGTTTCTGGGGTCGAAATATACTATGTACCTCTAAACATATTTGCACTTATTTAAGACTCATCCTGTATATTCAATATAATTATGATGGTAGAGCTTGAATAGTTGCAAATATTTTCAGGGTCGGTAGATCTCCATAAAAGAAACAAACTCTTTTACTTTACTTTGAAGTTTAAAAAATATATTTTTTGCTTAAATTTTGAGTACCACTGGATTTTTTATGTTTTTTCGTTGATCTAAATTTAATCTAGGTCTATGATCTAGATACTACCCTTGTATATTACTACCTAATGTTGTACCTTTATTTAATTAGATATTACCAAGGTACTAGTATTTAATATGTTTTTCTTTCACGAAAAAAACAGGTACACGCTTTCTTGGGGTAAAAATATACCACCGCTAAAAATATTTGCTCTTATTAAGACTCACCCTGTATAAATCATATTGGAATATTAATTAACATACGTTATCTCTAGATGTCACTATAAACAAAAAAAAGATAAATACTAATATATAATCCTTAAGTGACTGACATACTGATTAATCACGATCCTGCTCAAACCACTCAACGTAAGAAGCACAATTTTGGCATACAGGTTGATTCTAGCGTGTAGAGGTTCGATAAGAAGGGATTTTTCGAAATTCCAACTCCAAGAGGGTGAAACCACCGACCGCTCAAATATTACAATATTTTTTATTTAAAAAACGGTCAAGTTTCCGAAAAAGCGCTTAAACACGTACATATATTTTATTTTGTTTCTTTACATATTTTATAATTTTTTAAAAATGTATACAGGGTGTTTCGAAAAATCTGGTCATTGATTAATTACGATCCTGCTTAAAGCGCTTGACGTAAAAAGCTGATTTTTGGAAAACAGATTGACTTTAGGGTGTAAAGATTCGATAAGAAGGGATTTTTCGAAACTCGAATTCTAAGGGGGTGAAACTATCCCTCAAATATTAAAATATTTTTTATTTAAAAACCAAAACCGGTGAGTTTTTCGGAAAAACTCTTAAACACGTGTATTTTATTTTGTTGTTTTACCTACATATTTTAAGATTTTTTATAAATTTATACAGGGTGTTTCATAAAATATGACCATTGAGTAATCACGATTCTGCTTAAACTGCTTGACGTTTAAAGCTGATTTTTGGTTTGGACCAAACCAAACGAATTGACTGTGGGGTGTAGATGTTCGATAAGGAGGGGTTTCTCGAATCTCAAATTCCAAGAGGGTGAAAACGCCCCTCAAATATTTCAATATTTGTTATTTCAAAAACGGTTAGTCTTTCGGGAAAACGCTAGGACAAGCATAATTTATTTGTTTTTTTTACATATTTTGAAATTTTTTAAAAAATCATACAGGGTGTTCCAAAAAGTTGGGTAATTTCTTAACCACGATTCTGCTTAAACTGCTTGACGTAAAAAGCTAATTTTTACATCATTACGTCATTACGTCAACGGATTTTTCGAAAGAACCTACCCCTCAAATATTACCAAGTTATATAGTTATATAATAATTGTTTATTGCCATATTGTTTTTTCTCATGCTGACATAAATGTGAGAAAATTTTATCCACTTTGTATGTTAATGGAAATTCTTGCTTTACTTTATCATCACCATTACAAATGATTAATTCGACGCGAACGAAGTCGCTGGTACACGCTAGTATTATATATTTTTATTAAAATTTGTCAGTTTCTGAAAAGTATGTTTTAAGATGAGAAAATTTATACCTATGAAAAACTATGAAATGAAGAAAGCTTGATTCTCTGTTTGATCTTGAAATTTCTTTGCGTCCTGGTCTTTACCAAGTTTATTTTGTTTTTTTAAGTTATTTATTGTTTTTTAATTTTGAATGTGTATGTGTGTTTTATTTGAAGAAATTATTAAGCTATTGATTACCAATAATGGCCTCAAAATAATTTTGTAGATATATTTGACACACTATATATAACTTCTTAAATACCTTGAATTTAAGAAGTTACATACAGTGTGTGTCTACAAATTTCTTGTTAATTTACTCAAAATTCTATGAAATAAATTTTTGCATGAAAAATAATCTTTTTTATCAATTTTATACATTTCATAAACAATGAAAACTGCAATATTTGATTTGATGATACTAAATAGAAATTACTAAACGAAAATCGCTAAAAAATACTTAAAATGGTAAATATTGTTAAATTTTATTGGAAAATAGCATTACATTCTTTTTTTTATCTGAAAACAAAAGTATGCCTGTTAAAGGCATTAGCTCTGGCAGCTAGTGCAGAACATGAACCTTACGATACTGAAGGATACTATTTTTTTGAGATATGCAGCAAACCAAAAATCAACAGAGTAATTAATACTTAATATTAATTTTTGCGCTCGTTTAAGCAGATTCTAATTTCGTGGGCAAATCTATTTGCTATTTTTTTCTTATTTCGTGTTACTAATATAAAATAATGCAATAATTTATACAGGTAATACCAGAGCAATTAATTAGCGAGTTGAAGAATATTCTTAATTATTCTCAGAAATATTGTTTATACTTATCACCGTATGAGCTTGTTCAATAAAAATGTCAAATTAAGAATTAGATATGCCCCCGTAGATCGAGACATTTATTATAAAATTTGAAAATCATAAAATCATATTTCTTAATCAGTATTTCATATTATTTACCTTTAGAAAACTTTCGACATTGGAGCTGTGTTTTGGGGTATTTATAAATACATCCTTATGCAGTTTTTCATCGGTATATCAGGACTTTTATAATTATTAAAGAAATATCTATTTGTATATTTACTACTGTAGTATTTAAATAATTACAGATATCATATTATCAGATATCATTGGTTGATAATTCATCAATAGCAATTATATATAAGTAGTGACAAGATATTATATCTAAGAGATCTTATTTTCAAGCCGGAAACAAGAAAAATACCTTTTTAACTTCTCTCCTTCATTTTCACTACAATAAAAAATATTGGAACAATATTTTTTTTCATTATCAAAACTAATCGGTCAGAGGTTTCATAAATATCTTCCTTACTTAGGTCAATTTTGATAGATTGCTGTTTTAAATCACGTTGATGAATTTATTTTATATAAAACAACATAAACCACAAAAAACATTTAAAAACTGAACATATATAGGTTCTATAATAAAGTTTTTTCTATATTACCCTTTTGTTCTATAGATTCTATCATTCTATAAAGTTTTTTTTTATAGGAATCTGAATTATTGTTGGTGGCGACTTATATGTCTATTTAATCGAATTCAATTAATTGTTGTCTTGGATAATTTCATCATCAGTAATTCCATTTTTTTGACGCACTGTAGTTTTTCAGCTTTCTTCATCTTCCAAAATTATATGGAGTTTAGGTGTAAACTCATTTGTCAAAAATTTTAGAGTGCTAAATTATGATACAGTTCCCATACAAGTGTCCAACACAATTTTGATTTGCGTCGTTGTATTGCATTTTTATGACTACCGTTTTCTCCATTTTTATAACATAACAAATTGCACAGGATTTGTTGCACGTATGCTGCAGTATACATGGTAACTAGTAACTACCTCAATATGATGATTCTCGTTTATTTTCGTGATTGATGCTCCTATTAAAACAAATTTGAATTTCCTACAATTTCTTCATGGGGTACGAGGTGTAAGGTTTTGGGATTTATCGCAGTATGACTGACTCATATTAGTTTAGTTTTAAAAATATAAATTGGATAATTATTCTGGTGGCTAATATAGCATTCCAATTAAAAAAATAGGTCATTGTACTCTATAATTGCATTCAATTATTTCAAAAATGTTCATCTATTGTCAATTACCAGTTCAAAAGAAAACAGTGGTTCTAATGATTCAAATAATAAACAATTATCCATGAAAATGACTGGGAAGTTTGGTTACTTGGTACCTTAAACGGTTTTTGCAAATTCCATATTTGACCAAGTATTAATTACTATTAAATCTCTGTCTATCGTTTATAATCTATTCCGTTGTTTTTTCTATATTTTTACGTATTTTTATAACTCTATTATAATTTATGTTATTATGTAGCGCGACAGTTTTATGCTTGGGTTTTCCTCAAAATATATTTCAATATACGAACACATGTGTTTGCTACGCATTGTTAGCTCATACGAATGGCAGGCTTTACAGTGTAATTACTAAATAAACTCAGTTATCTTTTTATTTTGTTATAAAATTGATATTTAACTAATGGTTATATAGTATAGTTGCAATCGTTGCAATGCTTTGTTTATCTTTCAATTTTGTCACGTCTTATTAAAAAACTCGAAAAATATCCTTATATATCAAAATTTTGATAAATTTTGTTAAAAAATATTCTTAGTTTTACATTTTTTATCTAATATCTTCGAAATTTCGTCATTCTATACAGGGTGGCGCCTCTCATACGCCGCGGAAGCTCCAAGGAGAACGGTAGTTTATACCGAAAT